AGTGCTTAAAAGATATGGTAATTAAGTGAATTAACTAGAAGCCTCAAACACGTGGGTAAACTAAAATCACCTGTCGGCTTATTAAAAATGCAAATACCGAGCGCCATTCCTATTCATTTAGAATTTCTGGGGGTGAAACTCAAGCAAGTCAATTCCAGACGCTCTCCAAATGATCCTGAGGGAGAGTCCTGTTTAAGAAAAAACAAAAACAAAACAAAACAAAACAATCATGGACCTAGAAGGTAATCAACCGTCTAGAAGAGAACTGGTCCAACATACACCTATTATTAAATGGCCCTTATAGGGGGCGTGGGACCGTGCTCTGCCACTCAGGAGAGCAAAGCCTCCAAGATCTAGAAGACTCAAATCAGTGTTGAGAGAGTCACATACACACCACCCCATACTCTTACTGAAGTGCGTTAGTGTGAAGCTGCGGGCTTGAAAAATGCCATGATGAACAATGAAAACATATAAAATATCCGAAATGATGTATCACCTTGGGTTATTAGACTTGATGTCTTAGCCCTAAACTTTCTGTTGTATTACTCTAGAGGCTCAGTAGCACCAAGTGGAATTCAGGGTGCTGCAAGACATAAGGAGAGCGAGGAGATTGCAGGAACCGCCCGCGGGAAGGGGGAAAGAGATAATGGGGCGAAGGTGAAAGGACCGGGGACGCCTCTGAGTGCCCATCCGCCCCAAGACTCGGGACGTCGCGTAACCAGGAGCCCGGAGCCCTTCTTCTGGCTCCCTTGGCACTTACCATGGTTTCAGGTTCTCAGCACAAGGAAACTGGTACCGTTGCAACAGGAAGACAGCACCACCACCACATTATCCGGTTACTTTGGCAACACGGCCCCGCCCACTGCCGAACACGGCGGGAGTCGCACCGCACCGCCCCTTCACGCTGTCGCCTGGGGCGACGGGACGCCGCCTTCCTCCTTCCAACACTTGAACTTCCGTTTGGTTGACAGATAACCTGGAAGTTTAAGCGAATGCGGAGCTTGGGCTTAAATATTGCTATACAGTATTTTATTTTAAAATAGGCATCTGTCCACTTTTCACGCACTGAGGCCTTACATCTTATGCTCGGTGTTACTTGAGTTTAACCGCACTGCAGAGTATGTTTACCTTTCTCGTTCGGAAAAGTATTCCGGAAGCGAAACCCTGAGTAATCGGAAGTGATTACGAGAGAGACGCTTGACGTCAGGAGGGCTTGGGCGGGCCGATTTCGGAATGGAAGAGGAGTGTGGCAAGTTTACCCAGTGACACCGAGCCAGAGATCCTGTAAAGTGAAGCCCCCTGAAGTAGCGAGAGTACAAATCGTAGAGGTAAACCCCGGAAGAGGCTTGTGTAACTAAGAGGGGATGTTGGAAAAGTACGAAAGTCGAGTTTGGAGCGACGTGGCCAGGAGCTTTGGATTTAGGTGAAGATTGTTTCCAGGAAGGCTTGTTCAGACAGGGACGGAACTTCGGTTTTGATTTCCCGGGACAGCAAAGGTTGACGTGCTTGTCGCTTCCCCGCCTGCCGCTTTCATATCTGGTACCCATTCCCCTCACTGTCCCAGCCCTTCACTTGGTATTTGCCGGCCGACACTCTGGGCTTGTACATTTCTCAGAGCAGCTTCCAAGCGCGGTTTCAGTGGTCTTTGCTTTTACGAAGGATCTTTTGTATACCTGTTTTCAGAGCAATAGACTATATAAATGAAAGAGGGTTTGTGACTGATAACGAACTTAGTCGTGGGAAACCCTGTGCTGTGTCGTATCGAGTACTAGGAGTGATTTTTTGTTGTTGTTGGTGGTGAAACCAGTTTGTCATCTAGTATACAGTTCGTCGTATTAAATATTATTGCATTAGTATCACCTTCCTTCTCATGGTCTCCGGTAAATCTGAGTGT